ACGCCGATTAATCCAGTCTTGCCCGATCGGCCTCCTGCTCTCCGGATTCATTCAGACTTCTGAGACGCTACCTTCCTTGGTTTGGCTGACCAAATGGACCGGTCAAATTACCTCGAAATCCTCCTTAACTTTTACAGGCTTTAGCAACAAAGCCTTTCTCATCCCTACCCCGCCGTATCCTTGTCGTCTTACCTGATTGCATTGCTTTAATTAGACAGTCAACTCTGCACCTTGCCTTAACCTAGTCTTACCTGACCAGTCACTTGCTTTCTGACGGCAACCACGCTACCGAAATGTAAACTGTCTAGGCTGTACAAATCCAATGCACCGGCTCCCTCTCCATGAGAATTATGGGGCTTAGTTAAAGCTTTATTAGTATAGCTCCTTTCATCCCTTAACCTGTTCATCTCTGCTTACCCTCTCTCTTCGCCCTCAAACCTTAAGTAAAAGACTTATTCCTGATCCGCCGACTAATCTAGTCTCGTCTGATTGGTCACCAGCTTTCGGGCTCCTCCCAGGCTACTGTGACGCTACTGGCCAACGTTGAGAATACCAAACACCCTGTCCACTTTACTCCGAAAGTCAGGTTGGCTATTCTAATTCTAAACAGTAAAGCTCTCCAGCTGGATCTTGTCTTTTCCACACAACGCTGAATGCCTTCATTTCTCCTACCATCGGACTGCTACCTCTCAGTATCCTGCCCTGTCTTAGTCTCACCAGACCAGCCTACTCCCCCTGACTGCATTCAAAGCTACAAAGATGCAATTGGGCTGAGCCCTGCTGACGCAATGTTACGTTTTCCCTACGCCAGCCTTATGAGATTGCTCACTTATTAGTGCTTCAGCACTTTTCATCACTAGCCGGTCCATTTTTGCCGACCCTCTTTATTCGCCTTCCTATATTACCAGTACTACTCAGTCCCAATACGCCGATTAGTCAGGTCTCGCTTGAAAGATCTTTTACTCTCCGACCTCTCTCAGATCACTGTTATGTTAAGAGCAATGTTTGGATGCCGGATCGCTTTGTGTGCCTCCTTAGCTTCTTCACCATCCATCTTGATCCAGTACTTTCATTATGGCGCTCTTTGTATTCCTTCCTTCCTCAGTTGGCGGCCACCTTTCGGTGTCGTGCCAAGGCTCCATCTCCTAATCTCTAAGTGCTTCTATGATACAGAGGCCCAAACGGTCTAGGCTCTACGGACTCAACGCTATGTTTCGCTCCCCACGGAAGCCTGCTAGACTTCTTCACTTTTTATCGGTATAGCCTCTTTACCCATTTTAATAGTACGACTTAATGTAGTTTCGTCCGATGGGCCTTTTGCTTTCCGAACCCACGCAGACTTCTGAGACGTTACATTTCTTGCTCAGTTGACCGAAGGGTTTTGTTGACATTGCCTAGACAGCCTCGTGGTCGTTTCCACTCACTATCAATAAATTTTTTCTCAGCCCTTCCCTAAACTTTTCTTATGGCGCCCTGTTTTCATACCTTCTTCAACTGGCGGGTCAACTCTCATGGCCCTGCCGTAATATTGTCTCAGCTGACCAGTCTAGTTCCCTCTGACTTCACCTTTGCTACCGAGCATTAAGCGGTATTCACCCTGCTGTCTCAACCTTAAATTGCTCTTACTTCCAGAGCCTGCTAGACTTGCTCACCAGTTATTGTAATGGCCTTTTTGCCCACCATAGTTTTATTCTAATCCAACGCGCCGACTTATACAGACTCGGCAGATCGGCCTCCTGCTATCTGATTTCAGTCAGAGTTCTTCGACGTTACTTACCTTAGTTCGACAGACCCAACCTTCTGTTTACGTTAACTGGAAATCCTTGTGGGCTCCTCCACACTTTATCAATATACCCTCCTTACCCCGAACCAAACCTTTTCTTACCCCGCTTTCTGTTTTTATTCCTTCTTCAACTGGATGGCCAGCTCGCACTACCCTGCCGTGGTCTAGTCCCACTGACCAACCTATTTCTCTCTGACCGCTCCCGTGCTACTGAGGCTTGAACAGTATACGCGCTGCAGACTAAACCATATGTTTCCCTTATATCTAGAACTTGCTAGACTTGTTCCACACCTATTGTTAGCTGTTTTCTCACCTTTACTATATGCTCTAATCCAAACACGCCGACTACTAAAGTCTTACCAGTTCAGCCACTCGCTCGCTGGATTTCTTCAGACTTTAGAGACGTTACCACGCTTGGTTCGGCTGACTCAACTGTCCGTTTAAGTTACCTGGAGAGCCTCGTGGACTTTTCCCACCTTTCGTAGACAAACGTTTCTCATCCTAGACCTAACCTTTTATATCACCTTCTGTTTTCATTTCTTCCTCAACTAGAGTGCCAGATCTCACTGCCCTGCTGTGAGGTAGTCCCACTGACCAGACGCTTACACTTTGACTGCTCCTATGCTACCGAGACTAAAGCAGTATACACTATGCAGATTCAACGCTCTGGTCCTCCTACCACAAAAGGCTGCTAGAATTGTTCACTCTCTATTGTCACAGCCCCTTTCCTACCTGTTTTGTAAGTGCTATTCCAACGCGCCGACTAATCCCTTCTAGCCAGCTCGGCCTCTTGTTAGCTGGTTTCACACAGAGTCCTTCGATGTTACACATCTTGGTCCGGCTGACCCAACATTCATTTTACATGGCCTAGAAAGCCTCGTGGGCTCTTCCACATTTTATCAATTAACACATCACTGTCTTTCTTCCTCCAGAGAACAAGCTCTTACTGCCCAGCTATGGTATAGTCTTACCAGACCAATCTATTTCCCTCCGACCGCTCCCATGTTACTTAGAATTAAGTGGCATTAACCCTGCAGAATCAACACGATGTTTCCCTTAGTGCAGAGCTTGCTAGGCTTATTCACTCTTCATTGTTCTAACCCATTTCACATCACCTCTCAAGCTTTGGCCGACCCAATGGATCTGTTTAAACTACATGAAGCGCTTCATGGGCATTTCCACGCTTTATCTAGAAACCATTCTCGTCCCAACCCTAACCTTTTTCTGATTGTCGTGCTCTATGTTTTTAGGTCGTTTACAATCAAAAGGCCAGCTCTACCGCCCCAACGTGATCTTGTACCACCTCACAAGGCGGTTAATTAAATAAATAAATACTTTATTCTCGACCATACGAGGCACGCCCATGAAGGCATGATCAGATATGTACAACTGTACAAATATTTTATGGAAACTGTGACAGTAACAGTAGAAAATTGGTCGTATGTCCATGATAAAATAAATAAATAGTTTATTCTCAGTTTCATAGAGATGCACCAACTTAGGCATGATCAAGGTTTAAAACAGTTGTGTATCACGACGATACATCGGGTTCAATCGTGTGTAGTTGAAACGGTGTCGGGAAGAGTTGATATGTGAGTCTAGTCGACTTGCCAGTATGTAGTTGTGGGCTGTGACTTTATTCAGTGGCGAGTCACATCCGCCACGTCGCGGTGTTGTTAAACAGACATTTGTGGCTTTTTATAGGGCGAACGCTTGTCAGGAGGAAACCCACCACGTCATGCAACACTGCCGTAAAGCATTTTGAACATTATTGTTGAACTGGCAAAGCCGCTTGACGACTGGTTTCACCTTCGGTTTTTCGCGGGGTAATGGCTTCTAATTTGCTCTGTTAGTTGGACGGGTATTTTGAGCTGGGTCGCCATGATTTTTGAGGTCAGTGGAGGAGAGGGACATCGCGATTTTTCTTCTTGTTGTATGTCCAGGTGAGCGAAAGTTGAAGTTTTCCGCTGTCCAGATTTTTCAGATGTATAATGTATGGGAGTATGAGGATTTGTCCAGTTCTCCATACTGGACAAGGGTTATGGTGATTGTAGGTCGGTCCTTTCGGAGTTTTACCATCCTCCATGTCAGTCCTTGTGGGTTGTTACGTCCGTCTTGGGCCAAAATTGTTCCTCATTCCAATCCCAGATCTCCAAGGTGTCCCGGACCTCGGAGAAAAAGGAAAGTGAGAGACAACCAAGAGAAGACTGCAAGAACAGGCATGGAATTGAATATTGTTAATGTCTTGTGTTATAACATTCGGGCTTGAGACGAAAGCATGTACACTGTGCAACAATAATTATGCTGAAAATGTTTTTTGAGTATCCTATAGAATCATTAGCCGTATAGGTGGATTGCTATTGCCTGCGTAGGGACAAGAGCGTTGCACCAGTAAGTAAAGTACGAGTATCCGTTTGATAAGAGTGTATAATTGCTTGGGGATAGAGCAAAGAGAGTTAGAATGTTAATAGTGATTGTCAGGTGCATGAACAGCACGTAGTCAGTGTAATCCGAGTGGGGGCATAATAAGCGAAAATGAATAGGTTGCTGCGAGAGAGTCTTACAGCTTAATTGGTGGCAGGGCAGCGGAGGGACTGGATGCAGATATTCTAGAGGTGTAAAGTTTATTCAGATACGGGGTGGCTACTAACAAGCAATGGATCATCGCATATGCATGGGACCAATTGCCGTTAGCTACATCTGATGAGAGATACCGAATTTAT